AGGCGGGCTTAAAAACTGGCGACTACTGTATCATCTGAATATTTCGTCTGCTTTTGTAATGAATTGCGAATATAGACCTCGATAGTCTGACGTCCTTTCCAAAATATCTCTCAAGATACTAGACCCTAACTAAACTGAAAGGAGCTGAATAATGTCATAAAAATGAGTGCTTCAGGGGGGTTGCACGCAATGCAAAGTAGGGTTAGTTAAATCCCTTAAAAAACTTGCGCTTTTGTTGAAATCAGTTTCCGGTTGCAGTGTTATTACTTTCATTCAACTTTTAATATTCTTCCTGAACCTCTTCGTTCTGCGTGTCGGTAACGACAGGCTGACGGTAACGCTAAATCTTGCTGCTACGTAAGACAAGAGAATCCGAGACGCAGAACACCGCCTGTCGTAGTTTATCATGTCACGGAAGCTAACTTGTTTGGACCTTTAAATACCACCAATCCCTCCCGGCTATCCCAGGTGTTCTCAAGAGTAATTCGTTACAGGCGTAGTCAAAACCGCGTGGCTAGGGCATGGGAGCTTACCAAAACAAGAGTTTGAATTTAAAGAATAACTCCCTTGTGTCTTTCACGAACCTCAGTTTACGAAAATACAAAAAAAGATGCCCTTACCACCAGAACTGCGCATTGTTTCAGGGGTTTATCACGTTGAATAATCCTGTCCCATAGAAGAATTTCTGCTGCCCTCCTACCTGCTGAACTATATAGTTTACTTGAAGGAAAGATAAACCTTTCTAACGGCCCTCAGGACTGGAAAAAAAGTTAATTAATGGTCAGAAACTGCACGAACACGGCCTATTAACATTGTTTTGACAGCAAAGGAGATGTTTATTGGCTTCTGTCCAGAGAAACGGAACACGGAACTCTCATAGGGGGAGAAGTATTAGCTTCAACCGGACAACCCCAGTGGAACGTCTACAACGCCGAAAATTAGTGACAGAACTGAAAGGGAAGCGCTCAACTAAAGAAAGCATCCTGGGTACTTTCAGAAGACAATGAGCAAATGGTGATCAAAGGTGAAGTCAGAAGCATCAACAGCGCCATCCTCGCCCACATGGTTGACCTGGACATCGTGTGGACAGCAACGAAGCCTTCAGTGTAATTTATAAGGTCCCACCAAACTACCCGAGGTCCCTGTGTCAGCGTTTGCTAGCAACAGCAGAAGAAATCGCGATCCGGTTGAGGAAGCCGGTTTTGTGCATGCAAAAGTACCTCCTGCAAGCTCCAAGCTTGGTATGGCCAACGGTTACATAACGGCCTGCGTCTTTCAGCGTTTTCTCTCCCTTCCACACCCTCCTCCCTGTCCGGATTCAACCAACCCTCATTGCCTCGTAACCTACCGAATACTATCAAACTCTCCCCTATTCCCATGACTAATTTGCCTGTAATTATGAACATAATTGGCCACATGTTACCTTTTACCCCCTTCCCATATAAATGTAATGGCCCGATGAGGAGTTATCGAAAGCTACGTATGCCTGCCAAACACTTTTGTTTTTTGAAAGACTAGGGGTCCAGGAAGCTTAGGGGGGCCAAAATACATGAAAATACACATAGATGGAGAAAACTTCATCTTCCAAGGTCAGAGTGCAAGCAGATCTGCGTTAATTTATCAACGCAAATATTGGCCGTGCCCTTAGAAAATGAGTAAATAGACTTAAGGGTGACTGCAATAATGAGATTGTGTGAATTTTAAATACTGTTTAGACTTCACTTATGCATAGAAGACCCAAGACCGCGCCTTGAAAAATGGCACTCGTGATCAGTTAATAAATAAATAAATAAATTTTATATTTTAGGCC